CTCAAGCATTTTTTAAATCATTATTTTATTGATATTACTTTTGTATGTGATGCCGTCTCTTACATGTGTGGTCTTGTGCTCAGCTGTAGGGATCCAGATGAAGCTCGAGTTCTTTCAGAGGAAGTTCTGGACAGCCTGCAGACAGGTAACTAAACAACAATCACTGCAGCTTTGTTTTACAACAAGAGGAGCTCTGTGATCAGGTGTGAAGATAAATACTTTGTTTTGTGCTCAGTGTACCGCTCTGGATGGAAAATGTGGCATTAGCTGTGATAGCGCGGTAAGTAAAGTCACACAGCTCTGACGTTTGAATTATTTTCTTTCAGGTTGTTTTGTTAACATCATTTCTTATATTCTCTTGTCTGATAGGACATTAACTGCTATCTCATTGACAACAATGCCTTCATTCTCGTCACAGAGGAGCCCTCTCAGGTACTGTGTGCATGTAAAATGCATCTATGAGTTTACACCTGAACACAGGACTCCCATTTATCTAAGCTTTTCCAGTTTTCTTTAAATGTTTTTCCATAAGTCTTGAGCGTGTGTAGAGCAACACTGGGCCGCTCTTCCAAATAGGATAGCTGAAAGTTAGAGGAAGAAAGTCTACTTTTTTCACTCATAGCAGCAGCCCTGATATAAATACCAGTCTTTGTCTGTTGAATTTTAAACATTTGAAAAATCGAATTAGTTAGGCTTATTAGTTCAAAGTTATTTTTCATTGGCTGTTCTCATTATTTGATGTGCATGTGTGCTTTGACACAACTCCTCTCTCAGACAGGGCTCTTCTTCGGAGAGGTGGAGGGTGCAGTTATGAACAAACTTCTCCAAATGGGGTCCTTCAAAAGGTCAGAGACACAACATCACATTTCTCTGAGCCCTAAACTGATACACTAACCCACATGAGTCAAACTCAAGGCCCGGGGGCCAAATCAGGCCCTTGGTGGATTTAATTTCGGCCCGCAGGATAATTTTTAATTACTATTAGATCTGGCCCGCCGGTATATTGCACGCACACCTTCACTCAATCCTGAGGGTTCCCTCAGCTCAGAGCCTGAGCCCAAACATTGATGAACTTGCACCCAAGATGAGATGCCAAGTATCTGGCTTGAACTAGCATCACAGAGCAGCACACTGAGTTTACATGGATGTTTCCTTCTGCACTTTTTCTCTCACGACAACAGGGCATGTTTGGTTTTCTCTTTGAGGGAAATAGTTTTCTTGAAGCTGTTGTTGGCCTGTGGGAAAATGTAATCATAAGAAATGACTCCGGAAAAGCTGCAGATAGAGCCATAAGAAATGAATGCAACTGATTATTTAATGTTTAACGTTGTGTTAAGGCAATCATTTAAGCTTTGTTAGTTATAGGTTTAATATGTGCAATAAGTTCATTTCGATAAGTTTTGCAATAAACATTGAATTGGCCCTCGACTAGTACCCATTTATTTATTTTGGCCCACTGTGTATTTGAGTTTGACACCCCTGCATTAAACCATTAAACATAAATGTCAAGTTTGACTTTCCATCCTCTGCTGCTCTGTTTGTGTTGCAGGATCACGCTGTATGATTACCAGGCGCTCTGCAGAGAGTTCGCTGGGAGCAGCGACAGTGCACGCTCTCTATCAAATGTAAGGCAGAACAGCAGCTGGTTTAAAGATAAAGACATTAGAAACAATACTTTTACTATCTGCTTCACTACTGCATCTACACCTGAGTTAGAATCTGTGGTGGAACATGTGTTTAGAGCAGAGTCTCAAAATGAACTCAAGCATTTAAACAACCTCAAACATATTTCAACTCATTTTGTTTCAGTTTCTAACACTAAATAATGTTCTCTGTTTCAGCCCTTCACTGTTTTTAAGTGGCTCCTGACTGAACTTGTCATGTAAGCAATATACTCAATTATTTAAAGGAAGTGCACATTACATAGGCCCATAAATGACATGATATGATGAAGCCTACACAATGTGGTAAACTGTTATAAGTGTTGTATTCACAGGAGGGAGAGGTAATTAGGTAATCACCTAGTGAATTATAAAAGTTTTGAAAAATATAATTAATTGTATCAGTTTTATATAGGTGTTTACACATACAAATATATTATATGAACTGTTATTACTTCTTAGCTTGGCACATGTACTAGTAACATGATACATTGGTTGATGGTGGCTAAATACTCAATATTGTACTTAATAAGTAATATATCACAATTATTTTTAAATTAACAATGCTTTACCCTTTAATAAAGAAATTTGTTAACTATTCATTCATGCTTATTCTTAACTAATATAGTTTCATATTTAATGGCTGTCTCTGGAAAACATTTGTTATAATGTGACCTTTGTGTTTGTCCTCAAGTTTTCTGCTAGAATTTAACCTGTACAGCTGGTGGAACGTGGATCTTTCTGTGAAAGGTAACGTCTATTGTTTCAGGCTTGAGCGTCTTTCGGTTTCTCTGTGGTTTTGTAAAGCTAAAATTGCTTTGTTACACATTCAGCTCAGAGACCTCGAGGTAAAACCCACATGGTGCCGTGTGACACAGAATACCCTGCCTTTGTCTCCGAACGCACCATTAAAGAAACAACAGGCAACATCGACTGTGAGGGCTGTGTCAGGTACTGCTCCAGGCCTACTTGTGAAATCATCACATAATCCCTGCCTTTCCTAACAATAACTATTCAAAATAAACAGTAGATGTTCAGTCTGCTCCTAATTATATATTTTTGTAATTCTTATTCTCTATTTGTGCTGCAGATCTTTCGTCATACAGCAGATTCCCAGCAGCAACCTCTTCATGGTGGTTGTGGACAACAAGTGTGACTGCAGCAGTTATCCTCCAGTTACCATGGATCCCATCGAGATCATGTATATCCTTTCTAGAGGAAGCACAGATGATTCATACGTTGAAGCAGATGAAAGTAGATCATATTACTGATTGTGAAATATATTTACTTTTCTTCTGTAGAGCTTAGGTTTGACTTGCATCGGACTAAATAGGTTGTATTATTCTGAAGCTCTGAACATGTCCTGTTAATGTATATTTTCACCCTTGACTCCTTTGAACACAACGAGTCACTAAAATGTGACAGACTGAAGTATCAGAAGGACAGGAAGAAGCCTGAATCCTGTCATCCTTTCCACCCTGAGGTAAGAGGATGTGTGTCCGTGTGCATGCAAGTGTGCGTCTACATGTACAGTGACAATGTTTAGTTGATGATGAGGGAATGGAGGAAGAGTCTGGTTTATGTGCCGGAGTATTTCTTCACTTCCTGGACTTTTTACTGGTTGCTTGCGACCTCATGGTTACGGCAAAGCTTCAGGAAGTCACTGCTCATGGGCAAGAAATAGAACACATTTAGACGTATTATAGGCAGATTTTTTAAAACAATTAGCACCTAGCTTGGCTCTGTTAAACTAAGCAAACTAGTCGCTGCAGCTTCATATTAACAGTACAGAAGATAAGAGTGGAATAAATCTATCTCTCGACTTATGAATGATGGCAAAAATGATGAGTCATATATTGTATTATTTGTAACTGAGATTGAAAGCATGAAACAAATAAATGATTTATAGCTACATTTATATATCAAAGACACATTTAGTTAATCTCATTCTGTTCAACTATAATAAACCAATAAACAAACAAAGCACTTCGTCAGGATCAAATCACTTTTGCAGATTGTTCTATAAGGCAGGAATTCAAAGTGAAACAAGTGAACCATTAATGTGAATTATCCCTGTATGAAATTGAGAAACTCTGTGAAATGGATAACAAATAAGTGAAGCAAGATTTGACCATAACAGGATAATTTCAGCTTTAACAACTTGACTCTTATTGTTTATAGATTATATACAGATTTTAGTTAGCAAAACAGAAAGTAAATTATATACTTATCAGCAAACTGTCAATCCATAGACCAACTACTGCTTAAACTGTAGCTGTTTGAAACCAGCGTAGTGTTTTCCTGTTCAATGAGGGACTATTGACCAGGTGTTTCTTCTCAGTTTTACCTCTCCATGTGGTGAAGTGGTTCAACTGTTGTCTTGTTTTACAACCTCTACAAAAGACTATGGAAATAAGACGACTCGTTCAATAACTTCAGTTTATATCTATTAGCATCCACTCCTTTCTTCCAAGACAAAGCACATCAACCCTGATATTATTCATATGTATTAAAAAAGAGTGTCTTCTGCAGGAAAATGCCATGGAGTGTGGTTCAGCATCGCGCCTCTCCAGCCCTCTAGCCGCAGCTCTGCTCCCTCTGGTAGCATCGACCATCAGCAGGTGACCTTTAGCAGCACGACCGGACTTCAGTACGGACTAACTCAACAAGAAGATGCTTATAAACACATAGAGAACATGGCCAATCAGAAATGAATTTGCTCATACCTGGCAACAGGCAGCGCTCTACCAAGAAAACAAATCTTTATCCGTAGCACTAAGGCTCACATCCATTAAAGCAGTAAACATTAGTAAACAACAGAAAATGAGAATAGAGAGTGCTAGGTGACTTTGCTCAGAGCATTGCCGATCACACCATGACAGTTTTCCAGTGTCACAAATGTGTGCTGACATTTTAAAAGAGAAAGAAATAGTCTGCCAACCGTAAAAACAATGCATTTCTAGTCAAAGTATAAAAAAAGTAATTTGTGCAAAGTATGATATTAAGACATTTAACATGTTTGATTCTTCAGTGAGGAGGAAGAAGTATAATGTAAGAGTATGTGGAATGTAAAATGCACTTGGTCACGTGAAGAGAATTCAGAGTGGTCTTTATTTTTGGCAGTAAGTTGCTAAAAACTGTTGACAGTGCCATCATTTTTATTTATTTTAGATATTTTATTTTAGAACTTGCTTTATTCTGCCAGTTTCTCCTTGTTTTAAAGCAGAAGACATTTCAGACGAGCTAAAGATGCATGAAGAAGATCTCAGAATGTTCCATTGATATTACAGCCATAATGTGTGAAGGTGACCACAAACACGTATCCTCATGTTTGAGAGAGATGATGAATAAATACAAAGACATATTTTCCTTCCTTTATTTACCCCTGGTGTTATTTTCTCTGTGTGTCTGTTGGTTTCTGTGTGTGTGTGGAAACTGATGTGAAACAATGGATAAGGGATCAACTGAAACAATGAAATTCAAAGCAGTATAAATACATTTATAGGGCATAGTCACAGAGTTACTATACAAGTTACATCCGATTTAATAGATATACAGTATATATTAGGGTTTTCCCTTTTTTCAACTTGTGTTAATAATAGATGTAAAACAGCATACACAACATTAAACAGAAACACATTTACAAACTAGAAAGACTCAACTTTTGCTTTAGGTAAAAGTTTGGCTAAATCTTTTTTAATCTCAGTTTGGTTGATGAGAGAAATACATTTCAGTCGTCTAACATTAGTTTGGATTATAAAAGTTTACTTCAAACACATAGTTTTTTTAAAATAGTTTTTTAGACTTGTTCCTCTTGCACTCTGTTCAGTACAAACGGCTTCAGTGTGACTGCACCGTGCTGTACATTTGACCCATCATCAGGTCTGAAGCAGCTGGCTCCTCAGGGATGGTGCAGTACATATGGTATGTGTCAGACTGGGGAAAGAAAGAAAACAAATATACATATACAATTTATAGTTATATAAACCATACTATTTATGTTCCAATTGTATTTATTTGTGTCTCTCATGCCATGCTTACATATTCAACTTTGGTATCCTGCCTTTTCACCTCATCGGGACCAGCTAGTGAGAAAACACACAATGTTTTAATTCAAGGTCTGTATATCAAATCATACATCTCTCTTTACTGATTATAAAACATACACAATGTGATGGAGTACACTTCCAGGGTTATGTTTCTGTTGAGAGGAGATTTCTATACCATCAGTTCTCAAACAATACTTTGCTCGTATGTGAAAACAGTGCGAGGCCTGAGCACAGAGTTCATTTTGTCTCAGTGCAGTGGTGGTCTCCCACACGAGTGGTTTATTTTACGTTTCAGATCTAGGTCTTGCTCGCCACAATATATATTTTAGTAGATGTGAGCTACGTCAAACGTTCAACTGAACAAATGTGAAGCTGCTTTAAATATTTGTTTGAAACTGCAAATTACATTTAAGACCCAAGCCAAACGGTGTATATCTTGAGTAGTTGTTCAAGTCTCTCAAAGCAGATTCTGACCTTATGAAAAAAACACATTGACACATTCATACCAGTTCTTTTGTTGTTACAGAGAAGTACAGAAACCAGCAGGATGACGCCCACAGCAACTCCACATCCAGCCACAACTGCTACAAACTTCCATATTTCTGCTTTGAAACGACAGAAATATAAGCGTCAGTCCAACATCTGCTCCTCCCAACATTATCATGTACGGTGCATAAATACAATGATTCATCCAACACTTCCAGATCACGCCATCATGTAAAAAGTAAAGCTAAGTATAGCTTTGTTACTGATACAAAATAAATCTAAATCATATTGTAAACCTGAATTAAAGTTTAAACAATGTAAGAATGAATATCAGTATGTAACTACAGTACATAACATGTTTTTTTTAATTTACATTTTTGGAATATGTGCAAGGGGTCCTCTTAAGTAGCAGGCATACCATCAATGGAATATTATGAGTGCAGACTGCCCACAAATATTTGTTTAACATGAACTGTACGTTAAGTTTGTATTTTGAATATCCGTTCCTGTTTTTCCTTTGCCTGGATCTGTATTCAAACAACTGAATGTCCTGGCGCCGGCTAGACTGGCTGCCTCCGCTCTGACCTCTCAACTGTATGTGCATGTGCATATAACTGTGTGTATTTGTATATGTATGTGCATGTTCTAAAAAGTGTGTACTGTGTGTACTGTATGACCTGTATAAAAACGCATGTGTGTGTACGACAGAGTGGAAACTTCTTCTTCTTCTTCTTCTTCTTCTTCTTCTTCTTCTTCTTCTCTTCTTCTTCTTCTTCTTCTTCTTCTTCTTCTTCTTCTTCTTCTTCTTCTTCTTCTTCTTCTTCTTCTTCTTCTTCTTCTTCTTCTTCTTCTTCTTCTTTCTTCTTCTTCTTCTTCTTCTTTCTTCTTCTTCTTCTTCTCTTTCTTCTTCTTCTTTCTCTCTTCTTCTTCTCTTTCTTCTTCTCTTCTTCTTCTTTCTTCTCTTCTTCTTCTTCTTCTTCTCTTTCTTCTTCTTTCTTCTTCT